GTATATATTTATTATTTTATTTATTATTATATATATATATATATATATATATATATATACATATATATCTATAAATATAGATACCTATGTATACAAGTATATATATATATATAGTATAGACCATTTGCAGACGTCCCGCGACATGTAAACAGTATCAAATGTATGCGCATGAGATAATATAATATTTAAGAATATGATGGTGTGACAGTATGATAGACTTAACACCATATCGTATATGTGCACTCTCTCTTTATAATGTATGTGTTGCGCAACGGTACACTTGGCTCTAATGTGGACTTACATATACACAAACACACAGCTCACTACACACCCTGCACTATACATACATACACTCCATTGTACACACATACACACATATCTACACACTCCATTGTACACACACATACACACATTGGAATGTACACACATACACACCTATCTACACACTCCATTGTACACACATCTACACACACATACACACATTGGAATGTACAAACATACACAAACACTCCATTGTACACACATGCACACACACTCCATTGTACACACATACACACATATCTACACACTCCATTGTACACACATCTACACACATACACACATACACTCACACTCCATTGTACACACGTACACACATATCTACACACTCCATTGAACACACATACACACACACTCCATTGTACACACATCTATACACACATACACACATTGGAATGTACACTCGTACACACACACTCCATTGTACACACATACACACATTCCATTGTACACACATACACACATATCTACATACTCCATTGTACACACATACACACATTCCATTGTACACACATACACACATATCTACATACTCCATTGTACACACATCTACACACACATACACACATTGGAATGTACACACATACACACGCACTCCATTGTACACACATACACACATATCTACACACTCCATTGTACACACATCTACACACACATACACACATTGTAATGTACACACATACACATACACACCATTGTACACACATACACACCCACTCCATTGTACACACATACACACACACTCCATTGTACACACATACACACATATCTACACACTCCATTGTACACACATCTACACACACATGCACACATTGGAATGTACACACATACACAAACTCTCTATTGTACACACATACACGCACACTCCATTGTACACACATGTTCACATATCTGCACACTCCATTGTACACACATCTACACACACATACACCCATTGGAATGTACACACATACACACACACTCCATTGTACACGCATACACACCTATCTACACACTCCATTGTACACACATCTACACACACATACACACATTGGACTGTACACACATACACACACACTCCATTGTACACACATCTGCACACACATACACACATTTCTATACACTCCATTGTACTCACATCTACAAACACATACACACATGCTGCGCTGTACACAGACCCTGGGCAGATGGAGATGTGGATCAGTTTACTAAAGCGTTAACCGCAGCTCATATGATGAAACCAGCCGATGTGGCTACGACGAGAGTGGTGGTGCGTCTTGCTACTACAATGTACGGGTTCTTTATACCCAGTTTCGTGGTGGCTAAGAATATGCCAGAGGTATGCTGTGTATATGGTGTAAGGTAGGTGTGTAGTGTATGTGGTTATGTTGTATGTATTGTACTTGGTGGGTGTAATGCATATATTGTTGTACATAGGAGATACAAGGGAGGTATGTTGTATGTGTTGTATATTGTTTGCGTCTGTATATTGACGATAGACTGCGTGTATGTATTGACACTGGCATGTGGACATGTGTTGAGTCTCATGAACCCTATAGGCGTCACCACAACTGATTTGGTGATCCGGCTGTCTGACATTCTGCTATATATATATATATATATATATATATATATATATATATATATATATATATATATATATATATATAGGCATATATGTATATAAACATATACATTCACAGATATATATATATATATGTATATATACATATACATTCACAGAAATACACACACACACATATATATATATATATATAGATATACTAAACCGAATACTACCAGAATATTAATCCAGACAAATGTGTTTCTATCCATATATTGTACTAGTGCGCTAATGTGTAAAGAGATGTGAATAGGTGGCTCTGACAACCTATTTCATCGGATGTTCTCATAGCAAAGCCGTATGGCACTATAGTGCACGCATTTTTAACTAAAGACAACCCCATCTCTTTAGGGTTTTAGGGTTTACCGATATCTAACCGACACACGATCGATCACATTCCAATGAACATTACAATGTCAATGTAATAGTGCGCGTCTGTTCGCTTGTCGTACACTCTCACCAGTGACCCGTGTGGGTTCCGGTTATATTCATCCTATCGAAAACATTACAATAAACATTAAAATCAACCTTCTAATCAACATGACAGTGAACATTACAATAAACATTCCATTCCATGAACTTAATGACCAGGTTTGTAAGGCTGTGGGTATCGATAATATCGACTTTCGGTTCGATCCAAGCGGCTTAACGGCCACTGTGGGGCATATCAGCACATTCATCCCAGTCAGCACCAACTTCCACATAGCCAACGCAGCTGCAGTAGAGAAGATATGCGAAGCACTCATCGCACACGACCTGACAGTGGAGGAGGCCGATAGAGAGATTGGGCGCATATCCAATCGAGGAGGGCTGTATCCTCCGTATGTGGTTATGTGTGGTGAATATGTATGTATGTATATGTCAATATATATATATACATTTATGTATATATGTATATCTATCAATATATATATACATGTATATATATATATATATATATATAGTGTGTGTGTGTGTGTAGTATATATATATATATATATATATATATATATATAGTATATATATATACTACTATATATATATATAGTGTGTGTACGTA